ATATTTAATTTGTTTATTAAAATTCGTTATAAATTTATATATATATATATATATATAAAAATAATATATATATATATATATATATATATATAGAATGACTATATATATAAATATATATTCACATTTTTTTGTCCATATATATATATATATATATTATATATAAATTTTATAAATATATTTTATATATATATATATAAATATAAGTAAAAATATATATATATCATGAGATAATATATATATAATATATAAATATATTGATATATATATATATTTCAATTCTATATATAAATATATATATAAACTCAAATTTATATATATATATATATATATTGATATATATATATATAAAAATATATATAAACCATATTGGCTTATATTAAATATATATATATATTTATAAATATAAACTATATATTATATATATAAATAATCATATGAAAATATATATAAAATATATATGTCATATATTGTTTATAAAAAAAAATTGCAAAAATTTTCTATTTTATAATTTATATATATATATATAATAAACTGTTTAAATAATATATGTATAAAAATTTATATATATAAAATCTTAACCTCTTATATATTTATAAATTTAAAATATATATATAAATATTTATGCAGAATAAAACTTCATAAATATATATATATAAAAGTTTCAGTTCATATATAAATATAAATAAATTTTTCAGAATATATAAATATATTAATAAATAAATATATATATATATTTATTCATTTACAGTTTGATATATATATTATATAAATATTTATATATATATATATAATATATATATTTTTCATAAAATTTTTATGAACTCCAGTTTCAAATTTTCAAGATATTTCAACTTTCCATGTAACTGTTGATTATCTTTTTTAGTTTCAAGAAATTCAATCATTTCAATAAGCAATGATCATATAAAAATTCAATATTAAAAAATTATTGATTTTTGTTTTAAGATCTATTTCTACTGTCTTTTGAAGAAAATTATTTCAGAAAACAAAATCTTTGAGTTCTTCAATATTTTCATGGTGTTACCTGAAATGAAAACCAGGATAAAATATTCCATGCTCTTAGTTGTATTTTTTTTTTTTAAATAATAGTTTCTTTAAAGACCGGGTGTGGTCATAGGGTCATTGAACAACTGAGCACCTGACCAGGTCCTTTATAGTAGCATGGGTCTTATGGATTAAAATGAACAGTTGATTTTCCATTTTTCAGAAGATTTCATGAAAATACTGTACAAGGAAACACACAGGTAATTTTAACAAAATGAAAAAAGAATTTATTCATAAATTTACAAACTTGAAGTTTAAATTTTTGAATTTGTTTCAGGAAAATAAATTAGAATTTTAGTCCATAGGTTTTAAACCATGTCATTTTAGATGAAATGTTCATACAAAAAATTAAATGATCTGACACAAAATTTTATTCGAAAATGTTTAGACAAATTTAAAAATTGGTTCAAAATTTCAACAAATGAATATATTGATTAAATACATTCAAAAATATCACAAATGAAAACATTTTCTTTTACTTAACTTTCTTGGATTGTTGATAAAAAAAACTTTGAAGTGCTTCATAAACTGGTTAATTTTCTTTTCAATATAAGTGGAGACAATTTCACACTTTATGATTGTTCAACACTGGTTAAAGGAACTGAAAAAAACTCTTAATCCCCTTCTGATACTCTTCTCTGATTATTTTATTTTTCTCCTCATTTTATAATTCCAAAAATAAATTTGTATATACTTTCTTACATTTTTTCTTCTTTCTCAATTTTTTTCCTTATCATTTCTTGAAAAAAATTGGTCCAAAAGAGAATGTTGCAAATAGGCTCGTGAAATTCTTTTCAATTATCTTCTTTTTCCTCAGTCCAAAATTTTGAGAAGATTGGTTTTTTTTATTAATTATTTTTTGTTTCAATATAACTTTTAAAACATATATTGTGGTGGAAGAATAATCAAAATAAGCCTGGCGGAACTCATCCTTCTCTAGGTCAAACCACAGCCAATGTCCTCCAAACATCCCATGAAAAATATGGAATCAATATTTTAATAAATATTCTGAATTATCTCTCTCTCATATAATTGGTTTTATCACTTATTATTGAATATAATATTTTTTTTATAATATTTATTTAAAATTAATTTTCTTTAAGTCTAAACTTACTATTTATACTGTGTATAAAATAAAAAAAATTTTTTTCTAATTTTTTCTTTTTCTTTAATTATTATATCATTATTATTGCTACCTCAATAAATCAAATTTCAAAATATTTTTTTTTTCCCATGATTCCACTTTTATTTTAACTACCTTCATTATTTAGCAATATTTATTGTTTTAAAAAATGATGATTAGAATTGTAATAAAACCTAAGCATATGATGAAAGTGAATTTATAAATTATTTTTTTTTGTCCTTGAGTACTTACAACAAAAATATTAAAGACTATTTATTTATTTATTAGCTTGTTTATTTACAAGAATAATTTCATATTTCCAGCATTCTAAAAACTAATGAAATTGCATTGAAAAAAAAACCTAATGCAATGCAATATTTATCATTTACCAATTTATAACAAAATATAATTTTTTATTCATACATTTATAAACATTTACTAAAGGTGATAATAATCATAATTGTCATTTGTTTAAATTCAATATTTTTGTGTGTTATTTTGTCCTGGACTCTCATGAGTCCACCAAATATTGTTTGCAGGGCAATTGCTCCAGGAGCCATTAAATATTAATTGGAAAATTCTCACACCGCACAACAAAACTAGTGTTTCTTGCAACACTTTTACTCCCCTTAACATATTCCATATTCAAAATGCTTAATTATCATTCTTAAATTTTTTTACCTAGTCACATATTCTGTGTATATATTTTTTAATTGTCCAGTCTAAATTCCTGCAACAAGATCCCACATTGGGTTTTCAAACTCTGGTCCATTCCATCAGATAAATAAATGCATGTGAATTTACTTTTTCTAATCATTTCACACTAAGCAAGGCAATAGAGCAACTAAGATGCAAGGGGTTATTGAGTGTTAGAGAGTAGCAATCTGAAGGTAGTTTAGACTTAAAGAAAATCTTAAATCTATTAACAAAAATAATATTATATTCAATAATAAGAGATAAACCCATTCATATGAAAAAGAGATAATCCAGAATTAAGTATATATTAAAATAAACAATATATCAGGAAAAAAATATTAAGAAAAATATAAATTTTAAAACAATATTGCCAAAGAGTGAAGGTAGTTAAAAATAAAAATAAAATGTCTGTTGCAAGAATCACTAGTTTTGTTGTGAGGTGTGCGCATTTTCCTATTAATATTTAATGAAGGGAAAAAAAAACAGCAAATTTATTCTTTGAGAAAATACACCAACTCGAATTGGTCAATCTCAGTGGTCCTCTAAAAGCCCAGATGTGAATATTATGGATTTCTGTATCTGGAATATACTTCTAACTCACTTGCAAAACCATTGTCATGACATCATCGATATTGATTCATTGAAGTGGAACTTAACTGAAGCTTGGAATGAAATTCCTTAACTGGAGATTAGAATGAAATTCCTCTTGACACTATCTGCAAAGCTACCAACTACCACACTTACAACTTTGTGGGGAATATTCAGGCAAACATTTCAAACATCTACAATGATTGTTCAGTTTGTATATGAATCATGATAGTGTCGGAGTTAACTCCTCCTTCACTCCGTTAACCCTTTCACCAGGGGTCTCTCTTCCCTGGCTATAAATAGCCAATGACCCTTCACCTCTATCTCTTTTTCCTTCAGGCCTGTGCACCAACACCTTGAGGTAAAATTCTCTTTTTCCTTCAGGATTTCAGCTATCAACCTCGAAATGTAGACGCTAACAAGGGATAGCATGGAAAAATGCTAAGCACAATATTCACACACGCACGCACATACCGAATATTCACACACGCACGCACGCACATACAGAATATTCACACACACTTCGTCCTTTGTACTGTTTCCATGTATTGTAACTTGTTATTAATATATATTTGTATATACATATATTATCGGTCTTGTGTTTTGTTTGCTTTCTTTTTTGCCTTCTTCTTTGGACTTAATCAAAGTCCAACATTTTTATGTAGTTGGGCTCGGCGGGCAGGAGTATCTGAACCTTACTGGCGTTTCCTCTACGTTTGACTTCTATCAACAACAGCTAACAGCCACACCATGAACCCCCAACAAGTGGCAAAACAATTCCCACTACAAGTGGTAACCGCCACGGCCCTCTACAATCTCCAATTAGAATTTCCTATGGGACAAGAGGCCAGTGGATAAACCAGTTTTGTTTAGGTTTGAGAATAATTACTTATAGGAAATGATGCAATTTCCCATCAAGGAACGTTCTAGAAAAAGCAGGCCAACTTTGGCGCAATTCTTAACATATAAAAAAACTCCAATACATGTTTTCTAAAAAAATAGTTGTTTTGATGTTTGATTGAAATTTACAAATAGTTTTAGTAGTGTGTTAATTCACTTTCTGTAGTATCGTAAGTAATGTTCCTGGGAGAGGGAAATACTGTTTGTTGAGTCAGAAGAATTTGCACGGGAAAAGTATAGTAGGTCAAAGTTTTGACTGGCATGGATTAGTTTAGCATCTCTCCAGGGTTGAAATTCTGACTGGTCATACTTGCCTGAGTGTTGGTAATGTTCTTTAACATCTGACCGTAAGGTTAAGATGAAAGTTCTTGAAGGTCACTGTAATGTTCTGTGCAAGAGGCTATCGATGCTTGCTAGGCGTCGATTAATGCCTTGCTAGGATTTTAGGATGGTTCTTGATTGTCCCTCCGGTGATGGTAGCCTCCTATTCCCTTTTTGCTGTGTAGCTGCTGATAAAAATTAACCGGATGTCCGGAGGGGACCTAACTCTTGTGTCTAGGGGTTATCTCCCTTCTGATGCTGGGATATTACAATGCTTTCTTTTTTTTTTTTTTTTTTTTTTGAGAGGGGTTTAGCAATCGAGTCTTTTGGGTGGCCGTCTTGCTCGACCGGTGCGCCTGAGGTTGGGGGTATGTTGTGCCTGGGTGTCTTTAGATTTTGCAGGTGTTGTAGTGTGTGTGTAGTTTTCATCTTCAGATGAGGAGTAATCAAGTGGGTTTTGTGTGGGGCTTGTTGGTGGTCTTGGGATTTTCTTGAAAAAGGTGGCATTTCTTGTAGTTTGGTTACCTTCATGTGTGGCAGTTATCATGGATCCCTTTTTCTTTGTCACAGTCATTAGGTTAGGTTGGTAGGGTGTGAGAGCCTTTGAGGTGTGGTCGTTTTTTATAATGACTGTGTCACCCACTCTGAGATCATTGGGTTTCACGTATGTTTTCCTGTCAGCGTGTCGTTTCATAGTTGTCTTGGCTTGTGTGCCACGCTCCCTGATGCTGGGGTCTCCAGCTATGGGTGTGATCAAGTGTGGCAGGCGGTTTTTTATGGTCCGGCCAAATAGGACTGAGGCCGGGGGTACACCTGTGGTGCAGTGTGGCGTTGTTCGGTAGTCCAGTAGGAATTTGAATAATTCCTGCTTCCAGCTTCGGCCTTTAATTAGGGCAGCCTTGATGGACTTTTTTACAGTGCGCATAAAGCGTTCTGTTTCAGCATTGGCCTGGGGCCACAGGGGTGTTATCTTCCTGTGTTTGAATCCGGTGATGGAGGCGTAGTCTTTGAAATCGCTGCTGTTGAATGGTGGGCCATTGTCCGTTTTGAGGGATACTGGTACCCCAAACTCCGCAAATATTTTGTCCAGGCGGGGTATCACTGATGTCGTTGAGATGGAGTCTAGGATGTCAACAACAACGTAGCGTGAGTACTCATCTGTGACGACAAGTAGGTATTTCCCATTTTGGAGGTGTCCGAAGTCAGCGCTGACTTCTGTCCATGGAGCCGCTGGTAGTGGGGACATTTGCAGTGGTTCTCTTGCAGGTTTGTGGGTGCTGATCTGGCAGGTGTGACAGTTCCTGATGTTTTCTTCTACTAGGGCCTGCATGTTTTTGAACCAGACCTTTTCTCGGAGGAGGGCCGTGGATTTCACGATGCCTTGATGTCCGGTATGTGCGATTTGGGCGGCTCTGCTTTGTAGTGTCTTGGGCAGTACTATCCGGCGTCCTTTGAGAATGATGCTGTCGTTGTGTGCTAGTGAGAGTTCGGCACGGTTGGCATGCAGAGTTTGGAATGTTGCTTTATCTACGTCATCGTCAATACCGTACCACTTGTTGGTGAGGAGGGCTTGTATGACGGCTGTGAGTGTCTTGTCCTTTGCGGTTTCCATTGCGACTTCTTCAATCGTCATTGCTTTGGGGGTTGATGTTGAGAGGATGTAGTTTATATATTCTTCTGCTACTTTTTGTTCTCTGTCGCTCAGTGGCAGGTGTATAGGGTGACGGCTGAGGTAGTCAGCTGGGTTGTCATGACCTGGTCGGTATATGACGGTCATGTTGTACGGTTGTGTTCTCAAGACCCAGCGTTCAATGCGTGCCGATAGTTGGGAGCGGGTGTTGTTAAAAATTGATGTCAAGGGTTTATGATCTGTGTGCACAGTGAATGGTGCTCCGAAAATGTATATGTGGAAATGTTCACATGCCCATGTGATAGCGAGGGCTTCACGTTCTGTTTGGGAGTATCTTTGTTCAACTGCGGATAATGCTCGGCTTGCAAATTGTACTACCTGTCCACTTTGTGACAGCACGGCAGAGATGCCTATGGGGCTAGCATCGGTGTATATCTCAGTGTGTTTGTTCGGGTCAAAGTAGGCGAGTGAGCACGCTTTGCTCAGGGCGTCCTTGATTTGTTTTAAGCATTCATTGTGGCATTCAGTCCAGGACCACTGAGTGTTTTTTTTTGTTAGTTGACGTAGGTCGTGAGTCAGTGTCCCGTAGTTTGGAATGAATTGTGCACCACAGAAGTTAGTCATCCCCAACAAGCTTCTGACTTCTGATGCATTTTTAGGGTTGGGTAGCCCAAGGATAGTTTTTATTTTGAGGCTGCTTGGGATAATGCCTTTGTTGCCAAAAGTGTGTCCGAGGAATTCCAGTGACCTTTTGTTGTACTCACATTTGCTGCCATTGAGGATGAGACCTTTTTCGCGAAGTCGCTGGAATATTGTGCGAAGGTTTTGGTCGTGGTCCTGCTGGTCTGATCCAAAACAGAGGATGTCATCACTGATGTTGATGGCTCCATTAATCCCTGCAAGTGCTTGACTGATTTCTTCCTGGAATATCTCACTGGCAGAGTTGACACCGAAGAATAGCCTTTTGTATCTGTATAGGCCGAGGTGTGTCGCAAAGGTTGTTATGTAGCGGGACTCTTCAGCTAGTTCCAATTGGTTGTAACCTTGATTGAGGTCTAATTTGCTGAAGATCTTAGCTCCTGATAGAATGGTTTTCAGTTCATCTAGTGTGGGGGTTGGGTGCCGTTTCCTTTTAATGGCCTTGTTCGCTGCTCTCATATCAATGCACACTCTGATTTTGTTTTGGTCCCTCTTCGGTACGACCACGATGGGAGATACCCATGGGGTTGGCCCTTCTGCTTTTTCAATAACCCCTAGTTTCTCATCTTTATATATTTGTTCCTCCACGTCTTTCCTTACGTGGAAGGGGATTCTGCAGTATCTCTGGGCAACAGGTGGTATGGTTTCATCTATGTGTAGGTGAACCTTTTTCCCTTTGAGTTTACCTAGGCCATTGAAGAGGTCTGCATGGTCGTCCAGAAGTTTAAGGGTGGAGGGAGGGATTTGTGTGTCAGAGTCACTGATATGGTTGATGGAGAGTTTGTGTGCAGATAGCAGTCCTAGCCTTTTGCATGTCTCCCAGCTGATGATGGGCTTTTCTGGGCTCTTTATCACATGTATGTCGGCCTGGCAAACGGTGCCCATGAATTCTAGGCGTATGTTGAACCAGCCTAGGGCTGGGGTGGTTTCCTTTACACCAAACCCAGATATTACCGTTTTTGTGGGTCGGAGGTGGGGTGCTGGTCTCAAACGTTTGAAATCTGCCTCAGACAGGACGTTAATGGTGGCGCCTGAGTTGGCTAGTGCGTTGAACGTCTGGCGGCTATAGCCAAAAGACACGTTAAAACAAGGAAGGTTTTTCGTCTTACCTGTGTGGAACACGTATTCTATGTCACTACCGCTGCTACGTGGGTTCCGTTGGTCGTTTTCAATGCGGTTCACTGAGCGTCGATTGGTCTGTGTTCGTGGGGGACGATTTGTTTCCCGTTGTCTGTTTCCGTCGTTTAATCTTCTGAAACAGGCAGAGGTGAAGTGTCCCCACCTTCCGCAATATGTGCACTGGGTATGAAATGCCGGGCAAGACGTCGGTCCCCGCTCATGAGGGTATTTTCCGTTGCAATTCCTGCACCGGTATTGCCGGGGATAGTTGCTTGGTCGGCGCTGTTCGTCCGCGACTTTGTTTATTGGGGCGGTTGTAGCAGTAGCAGTGTTGTTGTTGTCTTCCAGTCGCATTGTTTGTAGGTGCGACGCTATCGTCTCCGTTGTCCTTGCGTAGTTTATTAAGTCATGTAGTGACATATCCGAGTTCATGAGTCCCTTCTGGTGGACTTTTTCCGACAGGCAGCCTGTGATTAGTTGGGACTTCACCTCGGAATCCATGTCGGAAAACCGGCACATAGACGCAGCTTCCTTTAGTTTGCGGTAGAATTCTTCGATGCCTGGGCTATTTTGTTTAATTTTCCGGAACACAAATCGGTTGTATTCTGTGTTGTTTTCCGGGTTGAAGTGGTTGTGCACCGCTGAGACAAGCTTGTCAAAATGTGTTTCATTTTTTTCTGGTGTGACTCGCTCCTGTGGTATCTCGTCGATGATGTCATTCGTAGCCTCGCCGACAAAGGTTAGAAGGATTGCTTTTTGCCGTTTGTCATCCTCAATGTTATGTGCGACAAAATAGTTTTTCAGTCTTTTTATGTATTTTGTCCATCTTGCTGCTTTGGCTGTTGACTCACAGTCAAATTCGGGGTAGTGTGGAACGGCGGCCATATTGGTTATATATCGAACACGTGTTGAATTTTTTTTTTTTTTTGATGTGTGTTGATGTTCTGTTTTTCTGTGAGGGTAACGACTCAGTCCTCGTCGCCAATGTAATGTTCTGTGTCAAGGGGTTATATTCGATGCTGGGATATTAGGCGTCGATTAATTTTGTTTTTCAAAATTTCAAGATAACTGAAAAATAAATTTAAGATGTAAAATAAAATGTTTTTAATTAGACAACTATAAAATCTCTGTCAAAATTTGTTTGTTTTTTTTTGTTTTGGGACAAATTTTCAAGATGTTCTGATTTGATATTGCATATTTATTTTTTTTACAGAATTAAGATCTTCAAGAATTTTTCTTTAGAAAACTATAAAAAATATCTGTCATTAATGCACAAATTTAAGTGTTCACAATGTCTGCAGCTGTAACTGACCAAAAATATTGGCACAAGTTTTTCTAATAAAGTAATCTATTCTGTATAAAATTTGTTCATTATGATTAATGAATCTTCTGAAAATTTCATTTAAATCAGATATATCCCTAATTTTTGCTAAATTTTTAAAAAATGAATAATTTTTTTTGCTTTCATTTTGAAAAAAAAAAAAAACAACTTATTTTTGTTTTGGAAGTACATAGTATTCTTTTTATATTCATCAATTTATATTTTTTTCTAATGTTTAAAGTAGTTAAGAGAAAAGGTAATTGAATAATAACATAAGTACCTAAAAAAGAAAAAGCTAAATGCATTTTAAATAATGAAAAATCTTTTTGAAACTTAGTTTATTTTTAATTAATTCCTAAAATAATTCAAATTGTTTTAAATTTAAATATCTTTTTAACAAAATAAAATACTTAAATTAAAATAAAATAAAAAAAAACTTACATTTTTCTGTTAAAATTAAAAAGTGTAGCCTTTTTAGATAATAATATTTTTTTTAAATCGTTTTTACCATAAAAGAAAAAAGCACGGAATATTATACAATTCATTTATTTAACTTTGGCAGATTATTTTTAAAATACTGATGACGTCGACTTTAAATTGGAAACGCTTTATCGGCGTTTTCATACAAACACTTTTGCTAAAAGAAAATTATCAAAACCTCAGGAACACGATGATTTCTGGTTAGAAATTTAAGTATATAGATGGTTTTACTTTTGAGTTTTAAGGGTCTAAAAGCTGTAGACACAGTCAAACAAATGCCCTTTAGAATCAATTTTCTGTAAGAAATTAAATTTCAGCAAATGTGAAAATAATATTCTTGATTATCTCCCTTGACTTTTAAGTTTATTTTAAACCGTTTTTTTTTTTTCAGATTTTTAGTAAAATCATTTTAAGAATGTAGTAGTTTAATTTGATTGTTCGATATTTTAAGGCATTAGTAACTTTTAAAATTATTTTTTTTTTACTTTGAATTTTAGTAAAAATAATCAGACGTTAAAAAGAGGTAAGTACTGTCGATTTCATTTTGATTTTATTTGTTAATGAAATGTTTGACTACTAAAAAACAAATATTTTTTTTTTTTCAAATTAAGGTGGTAGGTATTTAAAAATGATCTATTCTCCTTAATTCGGATGGAAACATTTGTTAATTTTTTATTTTATTTTTTTGTCATTTATTAAATAAATTCCGAACAATCGGAGTGTTTCTTGCTTAAAAATGTTCTAATGCAAATTATTTAAAAATTATATTTTTAGAGCCAGCCTTCCTTTGTATCGCGTCTTCAAATTTACAAAAAGATTAAAATTAAAAAAATTGAATTAAAAATAATTTGTTTCAAAATTATTAATTAGTAATTAATTATCAGTTTCTGAATAATGTATTGATTTATCTATTTTACTTTTATATGATTAAAATTTCAAAACAAGTGATTTTGTTCGCTGTTGTCGGAAAAAAAATTACGATATTAAAAAGCCTAAAAGAAAAAAGGTATCTCAGCTGACTAACTAAATTACTAAAAATGAAAACGCATTTTAAATAATTTCATTGTCTTTTTTTAAGTTCGAAAGATAGCCTAATGAATCCGTCGAAAAAGAAAGGTTCGGTCACTCATGGTTAAAAAAAATTAAAACAAATTTAAAAAACTGTTGAAAAATTCTAGAAATTTGTTTCGAAGAGAATTAGTAAATTTGGTTACTGAATTTTGTTAAAAGTATACTTTTTTAAAAACAACTTTTTTGTTTAAAACAGCTAAAATAACGTTCGGTAGACCGTGAGCTGTCAAGGTTAACAACGGTAGTTTTCTACTATTATCCCGTAAAACGGAATTAAGTATGGAGGACAAAAGCTACTAGAGAATCAAGAGAAAATGTATTGCTTATGTTTAAAAATTACATAACTAATAGTTTATGAATATTTTTTTATTCTTTCTAGGTATCTCCAAAGAAAACCAATACCTTTTAAAATGCATTTTTAAAAATGAAAAATCGTTCTTGAAACTTTTGTTTTAGCTTTAATTTCAAGCTAATAGATTAAATTTAATATTTCCAATAAACAAAATATTTTGCTGTATTTCAAACCTAATTTAAATTAGTTGGAATGTTCTTTGTTTTTTTTAAATCGTTAAAAATGCTAAATATCAAGCATTTTAGCAACAAATGATTCACAACACTGTGATTCTCTTTATTATCTTTCAAAAATAAAATATATTTTCTGAAACATTATTTGAGAAAGATGAGATGATTTAAGAGTTTAATTTATCTGTTTTGAAATAAATACTACTTACTTATTGTTTAAAATATTACCAAAAACTTTTTCTTAACATGGAGGTAAGTGTTTTGATGAGATGTTGGCAACTTTCTCGATAGACTTTTGCTTGGGAATTTTTCTACAGGCACACAACTAAAAAAATGCTTTATGAATATAACATGGGCACCTTTTTTTTATATTTAACTACCCAGTAAATGCTAAAAATCTAGGAAAATATTTTAAGTAATCTAATATTTTATTGAATTTTAGGTACTTTGGTTTTATAGTCTTACTTAGAAAATTACCAATAAATTTTAAATTTACTCTAATTACCAGTCTTATTTTCTGATAATGTCATGTATGGAAGTCCTTATTTACAAAAATCAGTATGCTTATACACACACACTCAAATTTCAAAATTCTTTTTAAAATATTGGGGATCATGGAACTGTAATAAGCATCTCCATTTATGATTGGTAATGTAGTTTTTACTTAATATCAATATCACGTACTCGCTACAAATTAATAAAAAATTTTAAAATATTTAAAACTTTAGAAATTTTTCTAATTTAAAATTTTTAAAAAGTGAAAATAATTTTTGCAAAAATTCATTATTCATTGAAAAAATCTTTTTCTTAAGACAGTACTGCTCATAATATAGCTTATTCATAAAAACAAAAGCATTTCTAATTAAATAATGTCTTAGTTTTATAGTATTTTATTTTACCATTCAGAGCAAATTTTCTGTAACTGAGAGTCCTGTTTTGCAAAAAAAAGAAATGATGATTTAAATTCTCCAAGGACTTGTACTTATAACTAATATAAACATTAAGTACTACAAAAATGAATTTCTCAAAACTTTATAAATTAAATAAGTGTGGGGGGGGTAACATTTAAAAAAATATTTTTACCAAGATCTTCCAAAAAAGAAACATTTAAATAATTCAGATCATTTCTGACTAAATCCTGAAAATTTCATTAAAATCCAACAAATAATTTATTTTTGCAAGAATTTTCAAATCAATATGTTTTTCACTTCAAAAAAGACACTAGAATTTCTCATACTAATTTATGGTCCCCCACTGACACAAGAAAAAACAAGATTTTTAACCAAGATTTTGAAGGTTCTAAAAAGGACTAAAATATAATTTAATAATCAAAAAATCCTTTGGTTTTCTCCTTAATAATAACATAAGATTTTGATGATAAAATTTTATTTTTATTAAGTTTGGGGTATTTTTTCATCATGTGTGCTCATTTTCTTGCAAATCTTTTTAGGTACCTACTTTAGACTATTATGAAATGAATAATTTTATTTTATGCTACAGAAGTAGAAAAAAAGAAAATTAAAAAATAGTTAAATGATACTTTTTAGTTTTGCACATGGAATTTATTTTTTATTCTTTTCTTAACTATTTGATGTCATAAAATATGGGTATCTTTTTTTTCAGTCATTATAATTTTAAAAATTTATTATACTAAAAGTGCAACTATTTAAAAAGTTTTCTCCATTTTGATATTGTTAATTGATTGTCCTTACATAATTATTTCTTTTTTTTTTTTTAATTTCAGTGCAACAATAATGTAATGGTTGTAAAAATGAAAAGAAAATTTTCCTTTTAAAAAAATGTCTGTGCCCCCAGATAGCATTTAACTTTACATTCTTCAATTCTTCAAACATATCTGTGTTTAAAAAAAATGTCATTTGTTGTGCACCACGATTGGATGAATTTCAAAATTGCACTGAAATATTATAAGAAAATCTTTTTATAAGAAAAAATCGTCAGTGTGAATTTTTTTTTTAGATTCAGTTGGTTCATTATGTTTCTCTTTGTTTTTATTATAAGAATTATAATATAATTATAATATAATAATTATAATATAATTATAATTATAATATTATAAGAAGATTTTTTTAAGAAAAAATCTTCAGTGTGAATTTTTTTCCTGTCAAATCAGAGATAATATGTTTTATTCAATTTTTTTTAGATTCAGGTGATTCATTATGTTTCTCTTTGTTTTTATTTTTTACTGAAAAAACATCTTCAGGGATTTTTCTTAATTTTTTTTCTTTTAATAGAAAAAATTAAGTAGATCATAAAAAATAGGAAAGAAATTCTTAGAAATCATATTTTTAAAATGGATTTTAGTCAAGAGTTAATCTTGATTAATTGCCATAATGTGCATATCTTTTCAAATTTGTACAAAAACTAGAGCAGTCATTGTTTCTTTCATGTTGCCTCCATTCAAAAGTTAATATTACATTTTAATTTCTAGCTATTCTATCATGATAGAAATATTAGGGTTCCTATGCATCCTGGAAAACCTGGAGAATAAAATGTAAATTTTCTAGGACTGGAAACTCTGGAAAAAGTTTGGTTTTTTTTTTCCAGAAAACATGGAAAATTTAAATTATCTGAGAACCTCTCTCTCAAATTACAAAATTAATGTTATTGTTACAGTTAAGAAATATACTCTGGATTATTTTAAACATGGGTTTGATGTTTTACATTCAAAATTAGAAATTTTTTAAATGTATTTAAATATAAACGCGTTTCAAATTTCAGGGTGAATATAATATATTTCTCTTGGATTTCGGATTTCGGTTTCAGTTTTTCATAGTAACCAAAACCTATGTCTGAAGAATATGAATACAAATTATTGTTCATTTACTATTTTTATTAGTTTACAAAACAACTCATTTGAGGAATAAAATAGTCAATTTTGACTAATAATATTTTTAGGTAAATTAATTGTAAATAAATATGAAACTTTTAATAGAACATTTTCCTTCAAATTTTTCCTATCACATGATAAGTACTAAAAAAAATTGTTTAATTCAAACTAATGTTTATTTTTGTTTTCAACTTGTCTAATATTTGTTTAATTTTAAATTAGTGCTTCTAGTGTTAATGTACAATGTAATGTAAGTAAAAACGAATCTAAGTAGAAACTATTTTTACTTGTTTAAAACAAGACCTGCAAGTTGTCAAATTTATTTTATTGAACTCTGATGTAGAGATTATTTACTGAAGATATTTCTGCTAAACATTTTTTAAAAACAAGCAGATGGGTGGTAGGACCACAAAAGTTTTTTAAAAAAAACAGACAAAAGCACACAAAAGTAATTTAATAACACAATCATAAAATCATATTTTTATATTCAAATTGCTTAATTATCAATAATGTTTGCCAGTGTTTTTTTTCTTCTTTGTGACAGCAAATTTCTAATTTCATTTTTAATGGATAATAAGTTTTTTTCTGGTACCTCCATAAAAAAGAAATGACTGTAGGACAAAAATTGAAAAGCTGACAAAAGCTGGTAGACATTACTTTTAGGGGAATAACTTATCTGAAACTAAATGATGCTGGGCAACAAGTTTTTCTTTTTTTTTTTACTTAGATAAATGATTTATAATTTTTTAGGTTGAAAAACAGTACCTGATGAAGTATCTTGGGTTCAGTTAAAGACAACCTGATTTAACAGATAGAATAATAATGGGTTGTTACAAGCATCCCTATAGATGCATTGGTATAAATGAACTGAAATCAAGATTTCAAGTTAAATTTGCTTTTGTCAAATAATGAGAGAGAAAAATAACAGTAAAAATTTGACTTGGATTTACAGAAAATAAAGTGCTACACATGAAGCTCTAGCAAAAATGCTGAGGTTAGTCTACTTATAACTTTGTAATCTTTCTTTTAATTCAAACAAAGTGGTATCTAGAATTGTCAATTCTTTATTTTTTCTGCAATACATTTGTGGTAGGCATTGGATTTTGCAAGCAGTGTAAAGTCCTGTTTTTTTTTTCTTTTCTATTCAGCCGTTTCTACCATTGCATCTGCATCTTGCTACAACACTTTGATGCTGGTCATTACTTTTTCTCTTTGTGGACTTCAGAATTGAGGTCTTTTAATGTCATTTTCAGATTCTTTTTCTTTTCCTCTTCCAAATAACTGACATACATCATTCTTGAAGATTTGCAATGTTGTATTTGGGATTTAGCTATTATTTTTAATGGGCCATCTGACAATAAATCTTGTATAAGCTTTAGAGAAATCAATGTCTTCTCTTTCAGGTACCCTACCAAAATGTCCTTATTTAGAGAGTACCCTCTTTCAACTGCTGCTTGCCCATGTGACGGTGTGAAAAGGTTTTTCAGTAACTTCTACAGATTTGCATATTCTACTTTACCTCTTAAAAACTTTCCTAGAAATGTGTCTACTCGACCGGAGCTACTTCTGTAGTTAAACTTTAGTTTATCTACTGCCAAATCCGCACCCATATTAGGTGGGGACTGTATCATCAGATACTGATTACTTTTCAGATACTTTTAGGTCAATGTCAGTTAAGTGTATCAAGCATGGCTGTCTTTATTTAAATAATAATAACGATCACTACGGTATGAACTCCTTCTAACCCACCTATGGTTCACATTATAATCAAGAAGAAGTCTGAAGTCGGATATTGTGGACCCTTTATGTTGTTTACAAACACTACAGTCTGCAATATGTCAGAATTATTCCAGGCAATTTTCTCCTGATAGAACTACTGCTAAAGATTTTTCTGTCTCATTAACAAAGCTAATCTACTTTATAAACCCTGGCTTAGCACCATTCTTTAAGGGACAAATCATGAGTGAATTAGTACCAAAAGGTCCTGATCTACTACTCAGATTTGTTACAGGTTTAATGAATTATACGATAAAGTTAGTTTACCAAAGCAACTAGATCAACCCTTGGCATGCATGCCAAACATCGTATGCTGATGACTTGTTTCTGGCAAAATAAAACTTATTCATTAGATTCCCTTTTTGACTTACTTTTATTCTTTGTTCTCTTTCATGTATATCATTATCTCATGTATTTTTATTTTCTGCCCTTCAGAGTTTGTGCAGAATGTCATGATCATCAGCTAAGAAATGATGTCATTTAAATGAAGAGGATATTAGAGAATTTAAAGAATACGGGCCTAAAAGATTTGGCATGATTAAGAAAGATAATAAAGCCTTATGTATTTTCTGTTCCAAAACAATTGTTTGTAGGACTTTTTCTGTAAAGAAACATTTTGAAAGTGTTCATAAGAACTCAAGCAATAAAACTGAGGTGGAACAAATAGAATTAATTTCTCATGAACCGGGTAAAGCTAAAAACAGGCTGATACTTTTATGAACTTTATTTCAGGTAGGCCCAGTTCCAACTTGTTTGCTGCTAGTTTTGAGGTTTCAAGAGTTATTGCCCAACATGGAAAGCCACTCAGTGATGGAGAATATATTAAAGAAGCTTGGCTAGAATGTGTGCCTTTCCTTTTTGATAATTTTTCAAAAAAGGAAAAGATTATTCAGTGCATTAAAGATTTGTTTGTGAGTAGGAAAACAGTTAAGAATTGGATACTTAAGTTGAAAAGTAATACAGCTGAACATTTTACAAAAGATTTGTCTTCATGTAAGTTTTTTTTCTATTTGTGTTGATGAAAGTATGGACATTACATTATCAGCTAGGCTAGCCATATTTTCTCGATTTTGTAGGGGTGATGAAGTATGTGAAGTATGTTGCCCTTGTAACACTATCTGAGCATGCTACCTGGGCTGAAATATGTAAAGCAGTTGTGAACAAATTATCTACTCAACAAATTCACATTTCAAAAGTAGTATCTGCCACAACAGATGGTGCCCCCAACATGACTGGTGAGAAGGCAGGATTTGTAAATCTGTTTGCAAAAGATGTTGGTCATCTACTGATAGGTTTTAATTGCATCATGCATGAGGAGGTTTTGCATGTAAAAACTTGTCTAAAGGAACTTCAGGAAGTGATGAAAACAGTTACCAATGTTGTTAGTTACATTTTTGCTCATGCTTTAAATCAGGGGTCAGCAACTCATTCAACCCCGTGGGCTGGATTGTGTTATAATGACAGGTTGCGGGCCGGACGAAGGCCATTAATGAAAAATTAAGGAAGATTACATATGCAGGCCCTCGTCAACCTAAATATTTAAAACCATAATGAAAATAAACATTGAGAAATCAGAAAAACAAAAGAAAATCTAAAATTAAAAAACACCTAACAAAAATTACTTTTCCTCAAGGAACGTCAAAATACTTCAAAGTGAAAAAAATTAACTGAAGTGAAATGGATGAAATCATGACGTGTAGGTTTGAAACTGTTATTGAAAATTGTTCCACAAACGAACCACACATACACACATCAAACAAAAATGAAGCACATATACCCATACATACGAGTACAAATTGTTGCAAACATATACACTTACATACGTACACATGCGGTATCATCCACACATTCATGAGGCATGTATGATGCACATATGTTTAACTGTCTTTAGATTTCTGCTACCTCGCATGTCAGTCCCTCCCTGGCCTCTTTCACTTTAACGTTCCTTTCGCTTCTGTTATCTTTTAATGTAGCCAAGGGTCATAACAAATATGTATCCATTATTTGACATTAAACGTAGGCAACACAACTTGGTAAAATAAGTCTCATGAAAGATAACTGGCAGATAGTCTAATATTTTTAGTGCACTGAGATGTGTAGACATTCTATGGAAAATGACATATAACAAATTTCATTTGAAGGTCGTCTCTCATGTTAAAAATAGTGTCATTGGTAATCAGGCTCACGGGCCAGTCAAAATGCCTTTGCGGGCCAGACATGGCCCACAGGCCATAGGTTACCGACCCTTGCTTTAAATTAAAGAATTTCAAATTTTACTGAATGAGATAGAATCTGTATATAAAGAAGGTTTGGTTCTGAAACAATTTGCTGAATGCTTAGATGAGATAAAGTTCTTTTTGAATGATCAACAAGTGTCTTACCAAGAATTGTCTGACATCATGTGGGTTTGTAAACAGATGTTTTTTGGGGTTTTTTTTTTTTGTTTTTTCAGATTTTTGTGAACATTTAAGTGACTTGAATATTAAATTACAGGTAAGACAGTTGATATTATGTTTGGTTACATAAAGTCTTTTCAAATGAAACAAGAAGTTTTTAAAGGGTATCTAGATAATGAGAGATTTAGATACATCCCAAACCAAAAGAGGTACATCAATGATCTCCCAAAAGATGGCAGAACAAATCACCAATGTCTTCAAAAGCTGTTTGTAAGCATCATCGAATCAACTGTTGAGCTGTTCTTTACAAGATTTTATAAATTCAGAGAGCTGGAAGAGACAGCAAAATTCATTAAGTTTCCAGGCAGTATTAAACTGGATGAACTAAACTTGCAAATATTTTCACAGATAGACATGGATGATTTTGAAATGCAGTTGGAATTGAATTTCAGAGTAGCTCAATTTGGAAGCAGAAATTTGTTGACCTTAGAGTTGACTTAGAAAATATTGAAAAAGAGTGATTAGAGATGGGAGTATCAGAGAGAAATGCAGAAAACACGTATATATAGAGTTTGTAAATCTTGACAAAAAATATTAGTGATAACTTCAACAATACTAAATATTGTGAGGATTTTAACAGACATAAGCATGTTGCAAAAACATTCTAGTATCTCATAATATAATAGGAAGTTGCTACTTTCTTTTTCCTAAATACAAGACTGGAGAGTTTTCAAATTCCTTATCCAGTTCCTTCTATCTCAAAATGTGTTCAGTTCAAATTGCAGTTTTAAATTCCTTTTTTCTTTTCAATGCATAAACACCCATTTTTCTGCCATTTCTTATCTTCACTTTCCTTTTCGTTCTATCTCAGTTTGTTCGTTACCTATCAAAGTTTTTCTATTTATCGCTGTTCCTTTTCAATCTATCCCTGTTCATTATCTATCTATCTATCTATCTATCTATCTATCCCTGTTTATTATCTATCTATCTATCTATCTCTGTTCATTATCTATCTATCTATCTTCATTATCTATCTATCTATCTATCTATCTATCTATCTATCTGTTCATTATCTATCTATCTATCTATCTTCATTATCTATCTCTGTTCATTATCTATCTATCTATCTATCTATCTATCTATCTATCTATCTTCATTATCTATCTATCTATCTATCTATCTCTGTTCATTATCTATCTATCTATCTATCTCTGTTCATTATCTATCTATCTATCTCTGTTCATTATCTATCTATCTATCTATCTATCTATCTATCTCTGTTCACTATCTATCTATCTATCTATCTCTGTTCATTATCTATCTATCTATCTCTGTTCATTATCTATCTATCTATCTCTGTTCATTATCTATCTATCTATCTATCTATCTATCTATCTATCTATCTATCTATCCCTGTTCATTTTCTAAGTCTGTTCATATCTATCACATTCCTCACATTTTATTTCATTCCTTCTCTCTTTTTATTTCATTCATTTCTTCTTTTTCATTTTTATATCTTTCTTTTCAATTTTCCTCATTTATTCTTGAATTATTAATCTCCTTCTTTCCTCACCATTATTTCTCATTCTCTTCTTTCTTTTCTTCTCTTATTGCTTCTTTCTAGTCTTTTCATTTTTTTCATCCCATTTCGGCAGAGTTCAGCTAATTGCTATTAATTTCTTTTTATTGGAAGATAAAATTAAACTCGAGATTTTACCCTAAAAACTTTCAAACATGTAATTCCTTCATAAATATATATCCTTCAGATACTGTTGATCAGAAAAACTGTCAAAATTTTTTTAACAAATATATAAAACCAAAAGATGTCTTTAAAACCAGAAATCTTGTCAAAGTACTACCAATCTCATTTATTTTTTGTTCTTACAATGTTTCAACCACCAATTTATTTCTTGGCCTTCATCAGTTAATTCAAAAAAGAGATTAACCTCATTCTATATGGATTCCACAGCTGGTGGATGTTGAAGAATTAATCAGCTAAAACTTTGGACATTACTTATCAGATGACCTGATATAATCCACTTCCTTTGTATTATTTTGGTAGACAAAATTAAACAAGGTCGACTGTATTAAATCTTCTAAAAAAACAACTTTCTTATTTTAAGCAAATGATTGTTTTATGCAATTTCTAGTTTTAAATATATTTTCACTAAATTCTTGAAGTGTTGCTCTCAGCGATAACATTAGAGAAAGAAATCTTTTGTGTTTTTCTTTAATTGAATTTTCTTTTTATTCACAGGTTTCTTGCAAAGGATTTTGAATTATGGATCTTCATTGGAACAATGTTCTCATTTCAAAAGACCTGATAGATTACTAAATTAGAAAACAAATAAAGCCAGTAACTAAAAATTATATCCCTTTGACCACTATGAGTCTGTTTTCCAATGTAAAATGTCATTCAGGTACAAACATTGGGAAGAAATCATACACTTATTAATGTGTGGATGTAACTTTTTTCAGACTTTAACTTTAAAAATGACGCAAAATACATAATGTAAATCAATTTCACTCTTGCACTAGAAAACCATATGTAATATTAACAGATATGCAAATAAAAGCATTCAACTTTGAAAAATCTTATGTGATCACATAATACAGGAAATCACGACATTCTTGTGAGACAATGTGAAGCATAATTGTCGCATCTCACATTTAAAAGTACATTTAAACATGCTGAGAAGTTATATTCTTGTGAGGTTTATAGAGTTTTTTAATTTACGGAAAATGGAATATGAAAAAATGTAATGAAACAAAACCATATACTAGAAAAGTTTATGGACCAAAATTTTCATAAAGGTTTTATTTCAAGAGCATACACAATCACATAGAGGCCCAAATTATTTCCTTGTGAAATTTCTTGATCTGCTTTTCCAAAGTCAAATTTAAAGAAACATGCAAGCACAAATTGGAGAAAAACCAAATGTTGATGAGGTTTGTGATGCTTCTTTTTTGGTTAGTGAATCATTAAAAGTACACATGGCATCACATACTAGAGAAAAACCATATTCTTGTCAGGAATGTGATGCATCATTTTCAGAAAGGAAATATTTGAAACAACATATACGAACACATACTGGGGAAAAACCATTTACATGTGAAGTTTGTGGTGCTGGATTTACACTAAGTGAATCTTTAAAAGTACACGTGAGATCACATACCGGAGAAAACCCATTTGCTTGCGAGTCCTGTGGAGCATCATTTAAAAGTAGATCGCGCTTAAATCAGCACATGCGTACACACACTGGGGAAAAACCATTTCCTTGTGAAGTTTGCGGCGCTTCCTTTGCAGTAGGTAGAACTTTAAAAGTACATTTGAGATCACATACTGGAGAAAAACCATATTCTTGCCAGGTATGTGGATCATCATTTTCACAACTTACAAATTTGAAACGACATATGCGAAAACATACTGGAGAGAAACCATATCCTTGTGAAGAATGTGGTGCTGCATTTTCAGAAAGTGGAAAATTAAAAATACACATGAGATCACATACTGGAGAAAAACCATATTCCTGTCAAACATGTGGATCATCATATACACGTAAGTCGACCTTAAGACAACATATGCAAACTCATACTGGAGACAGATATCATTGTGAAGTTTGTGGTGCTGCATTTTCAAGATTTGGACCTTTAGAAGTTGGAGAAAAATCATATTCCTGTGAGGCTTGTGGAGCATCATTTTCACAAAGCTATAGGCCAAGACACACTGTCGAGAAACTATATTCATGTGAAGTTTGTGGTGCTGCATTTCCAGGTAGTGGAAGGTTAAAAGAACATGTGAGATCACATACTGGAGAAAAACCATATTCGTGTGAAATATGTGGAACATCATTTTCACACAGTTCCAGTTTGAAAAGACATCTTCATACTCATACTGGGGAGAAACCATATGCTTGTGAAGTTTGTGGTGTTAAATTTTCATTAAGGGGAACTTTGAAAATGCACATGAGATCACATACTGGAGAAAAACCATATTCTTGTGAAGTATGTGGAGCATCATTTTCAGGACGGGCAAATTTAAAACGACATATGCAAATTCATATGAAGGGGAAAACTGTATAATCGTAAAGTTTTTGGAAATGCATTTACATAATGTGATTTTCAAAAAAATGTATGTTCACATCTTTGAGAGAAATCATATCTCTCTAAAGTTTGTGCATCCATGTTTTTCAAGTGTTCATATCTAAAGAAACATGCAAATATGCTCAAGTTAGTATTATGCTGTAAATTTTTGTCTGCATATCTTTTATGCAATTCCACCCCACATTTTATTTTGGTATATATTTTTGTTTTCTTATGGGATATATGAAAATATGTGTGCATGTTTAAATTATTATATTTTTTGTGATGTTTTTTACTAAAGTTTTTTTTTTTTGGTGGGGTGGCAGGGAGGTTGAAGAACATACCCTAATGAAGATTAATATAGCTTCTGCACTAAAAATATATACAGCATACAAACCAATGAAAAATCTCTACATAGGCCAAGCATCCATTAATTTCCTTGAATATTATTGTGTGAAAGAAAATGGCAAACATGAAACAAAGTAACACAAAATATGACATAATGTCAAAAGGACAGTTTTTCCTATAATGTCGCTTTTTTAACTACCTTCAACTCTTTAACAATATTGTTTTAAAAAGCAATGATTAGGATTGGAATAAGACGTTAACATATGCTGAAAGGGAGTTTTATACATTTTTGTTCATAAGAATTGACAACAAAAATATTAAACAGTATTTATTTATTAGATTGTTTATTTACAATAATAATTTTATATTTACAACATTCTAAAAAAACTAATACAATTTGAACTAATGCATTTCACATTATTTACATTATTCAGACTATTCTCCTCATCTTTTTTCGCCATATTTATCCTAACGTTTTTATTTTATGCGCTCCGGCCTTCTTCAGGTACATTGGAATGTCAAACTGAACCCTTTATTTTGGTCACGGGGTAGACTGTTCTAGTTCCACGTGAAATAAAGGGTTCAGTTCGACATTCCAACCACCTGATGAAGGCTGGAGTTAAACCTACAAAACGTTGTGATAAATATAATTAAAGATGAGGACAATAGTCCGAATAATGTAAATAATGTACATAATACCTTATCTCAGAAATATAGACAGACTCTAATGCAATGCAATATTTATCCTTTACCAATTTATAAAGAAATAAATATGAAAACTTTTTTTATTCATAAATTTATAAGCATTCACTAAATTATTAAAATATTTGAACTCCCTATAAGGAAATCCTTATTATTTACCATTTTATAAAGTTCAAATCAGTTAGCAATTAGCCAATATTTGCCAACTATTCCAGTGTTTATTATTTTTGTTGCCAATTCGCAAGAACAAAGAAAATGTATAAATTCACTTTCATATGTTTATGTTATGATTCTAATCACCACTTTTTAAAACAATGAACATTGTTGAGGGGTGAAGATAGTTAAAAAAAAAAAAAGCTGTGACATGGGAAAAACTGTTCTTTTTGAGCCTACATCTTATTACGGCACGAAAGGCCATGTTTACCAAAAGAATATATACGGCCCTAAAGTCTGGACACATAGGCAAAAATGTGTATTTTCAAGAAATGAAACATTTTATTGGATTGGAATATTAATAAATAACATCTTCTATATGATTTCCATCATTTGTGATACAAAGGTTGATGCGCTTTGTAAGATTCACGCGAACAAGATGCAATAAATGCACATTGCTGTCAATTTTAGCACATTCACTCTTTATGCATTCAATCAATGTGTGTTGCATCTGGGATTTTCATTGGGTACACCTTCTCTTTTAGCAGACCCTAGAAAAAGAAGTCACTTCTTTCTTCTTTTGACAAAACCGTGTTTAATCTGTGAAGGTAAAAAAAAAAATTTATATGTAGTTAATGAAATTTCCTATCTGTCCAGACTTTAAGGGCACCTTGTATTTTATATGGTTTAAATCTTTAGCAGCGAATGGAGAAGTATTTTTATACTTACCAACAACCATCAAATTTCACACTTAACTCAGAAATAGGTAAAATATTAACTCTGGTTGTTGCCACTGATCTCATAAAATTTCTTTAAAATTTGTTAAGAAGTTTGAAATAGATTTGTTATTTTTCTGAAATGTAACAGAAATCTCAAACATTTTCAGTTCACTGTTAAATCAGAAGTTTTTCCTTTTTTTTATAAACAATTCATGACAGACTGTAAATAATTACAAAATTAAAATAAATTCCTATACTTTGGATAATCCATAAAGACAGCCTTTTTTTTTTCTTTCTTGTTTTTTTGTTATTATCAATCCACCCCAAGCAAGGCAATAATGCCACTAAGACACATGTTACTGGGACTAAAAGAGACTGAAAAATTTTAGAAGGAACTGAAAACCCAATCCTAAACAGGAAACAAGGGATACACCTTTACTCCTGTTCAAAAGACCAGGGAGGAGTGTGAAATGGATGATAGGTTCACCTATCTTCCATTTAAGAAAAATAAATAAGTAAATAGTAAATAAAATGTCAGAGTTTAGATGGAGACATTAGAAGTATAGACTTGAAGTAGACTTTAGAAGAAACTAAAAACCCAATCCTGAACAGGAAATAA